GGGGGCTGCAGCTTGGAACAATATCGAAGACAAAAGTAAATTTTATCCCCATGTTTCAATATTTTTACATCTTTTACATTCATAATTACCTGTACATATTTTATATTCATGATATCTTAAATTTTATCTGAAAATCAACTTTTTTAAATAGTTTTGCCTGTATTTTCTCATATATTATGTAATTAAAATTATTTATGAACTTTGGTTGAGATGGTACCGTGTATAAATATTGGTAAATAATAATAAAATAATAATAAATAATAATAATAATGCCTTAAAATCGGGGGCATGGTTTTGCGGGCAAAAATTTACCCAAGAATTTAGATTTAAAACACATTTATTTCTTCAACACGTTTTACAAAATTATGCTTCTAATATATATCGTCACTTGTTTGAAACATTTCACTATCCGATTTGTCACAGTCTTAGTTGTGATATATTTTGCCATAAAAAATAAATATGTTTTTATCAAATATGAGGTCGTTATATATGTTGCTATGTGTTACCAGTCATTGATTAGCGACGCTTGAGTGCATGCATGTATTAGTGTACAAAATAGTTGTACACCGATCAGGCCGGCGGGTTGGACAAATCGCGCCGACGGGCCGCAAAGAGCGTGCTTTGCAGGCAAAAGTTTGCACAATATTTCAGTTTTAAAATACATTTATTTCTTCGAAGCGTTTTACAAAATTTAGTAAGGTCTACTTCTGAGAGCATAACGTTATTTTTGTTATTTTTAAAGAGCTCTTGTATTCTTGTCTGTCTTCTGGGGATAACTTTGCATGTTTCTGCGGCTTCATTACCTCCGCCAGGAGGTTATGTAATCATCTGGGTTTGTATGTGTGTGTGTGTGTATGTGTGTGTGTATGTGTGTGTGTATGTGTGTGTGTATGTGTGTGTGTATGTGTGTGTGTGTGTTTGTCTGTGAGCACGATAACTCAAGAAATACCAAACATATCCGTACGAAATTTTGTGAGTGCATTTCCCATCGGCTAAGGAAGAACTGATTAAAATTTGATTGAATTTGGTTAAAAATTGAATGAGAAATAACAAAAGTTTGTCTTGCTTTTCCCGGTCAATTAAATAAAACTTTATACTGAATGCGTAATTAGGACGTGCATAATATATGCACCAGCCATACAAATTCTAATAACAATAGATTACTTCAAATAATTTGCGCTAGGCGGAGGTATGCAGTCTCTGAGTGCCCTCTAGTTGGAATATATTTTGGTCTGTCGCTCAATATGAAATGTTCACTCTTGCACTCTTCCAATCTAGAGACTCCATATTTTCAAAATTTTTCCGCTCGGCGCCAACTATGGTGGCGCCCGTGGATCCCTCAAAGCAAAATGATGTGTTTTTTTTATGGGGGTTTTTTCCAATGTTGGCAACTATGATAGGGTAGTATGATTAAATGTAGCTTCACTTTATACACGTTTGTCAAATTTAGCAAAATTTCTCCCACTTGTGCGGGCTCGTATTGTCAGAGGACATCATACAGAAAATGGGCAGTTTACAACAAGTCCGCTGAAAATGCAAGCCTATGTACTGGGAGAAAATTTGCTGAATATGACCAGTGTGTATAAGAACTTTAAGAAACGAAGTATTTGCGTTGACATATGTTGATAGAATAATTTTTCCTAGCGAAAACTGCTCAACTTCTGCGAAATAGCATTTCTCTGAGAAGCCAATCAGATCTCTCGCTTTAGTCTTCTAACCCAGAGCCAAATTTTCAACGAGCGACCGAGTGAAAATGGCCCTAGGGACGAGAATGGTCCACCCCACGCTTTCTGTAATGGTTCGCTACCATAGATATCTTATATACACTAGATAGTGCACCTAATTATTCTGCAATTCAAAAATTGTAGCCGTGATTACAGTCTCAGGTCGTTCTCATGAAATGAGAAGATTCGTATGTTTTCTATTTCTTAAATAAGGAACTTAAACATTAAGTTAACCCTATTCCAAATTCCTTTTTAAACTATTCAAATGATGAAAGTTATTGTTGTTTTTAAGCGTTTATTAACAAGCTCGCTTCGATCGTAATTGGCAAATATCTGATAAGTGACTTGGCGGTTTGTAGTACCACGGAAAAGGAAGTTCGGTCGAATCCATGACCGTGGGTCGAGAGTTTGCGTTTAGTCATGGCCACGTTCACAAATTAGGTATCGAAGACTTGGTAACGTATTTACATTTAACCTCGCTGTTCTCGAGTGCCGAGAACAAACACCTCTCCAGGGCACCACTCCAGCAACGCTGGAGAGAGGGGTTCGATGCACTCGAACACTCCTCCAAAACGGTTCGAATTATGCCAGCACGGCAGCTATTGATGTTAGCACGGGCGATGGAGTCCGAATGTACCGAAGATACGCGTTGCTCGACCAACGACCAAATGTCTTAATTAAGTGATACGGGATACCCGCAGACGCTGCTTTGGTCGCCGCGCCGATCCTGAAACTGTGACTGGAGTAGGTACCACGTATTCCCAAGTTGGATAACATCGCACTGAGCCAACAGTTAACCACCACCGGTGTTAGCGGAGAGCCATCGGATAACACGAACAGTGGTCCGGGAGCGTCGCCTCGAACCTGAAGGTAACGGCGAACCGCAGATACGGCGCAGATGCGTATTCCCGACGCACCGATGGAGAGAGACACGCCTCGGCGGAACTGGTCCGTTTTGACGTCTTGATGAAGAGGTGAACAGGTAAATTCGCAAACCCGACGAAAGCCAAAAAACGCGAAAGAACAGGGCGCCCAAAACATGCTATGATCATACGAGTCTGCGGAAAGAGCCGCCTGAATAGCGGCTAGAACAGACCGGGTGATGGGCAGATGAATAGAACGGGACCGTCTGATACCGCGAAGCACGCGATGAAGGCGATGAGTGTCTTTGAGCGGGTCAGGAAAGCCCCGATCGATATGTAGCTAGCGGACGGACGCCAGGTAGACGAAGATTGTCGCAGCAGAGAGACCACGAACTGAGTGCATCCATGTGACAAAAGCAGCAAGGACCATTCGTCTGCCGGAAGAGGAGACATGTGTGCTAAGCCACAGAAACGGGCAAACAGGCGTTGACCAGCGGAGTAAGTACGGCGGGTAGACGCGGACAGGCCTTGTGCAAGGAGGTCGTAACATTGGGAAATCCGGGACGAACTAAACTGACGAGGAGCTTGTGTGGAATCGGCGAGGGTTCGTGGTCCATGTTGGGGGCGAGGCGGTGGAACTCCTGAAAGCGAAAACGAGACAAGACGTCAGCAGCAGAATTGGACCGACTGGGGGTGTGACGGGCCGAGAACGTGAAGTTATTTAAACAAGCTATCCGTGTGAGGCTGCGAAGCAGATGCATGAGAGGAGGGGAGCGCGCCGTCCCTGCCGTGAGGGCATCCACCACACTACGGTTGTCGCATAGGAATTGGACCTGTAGTCTTGACCAACTTTCCCCCCAGAGATGCGCAACTACAACGATAGGCAGAAGCTCCATAAACACGATGGATTGTGGGGAGGACAGGAACAACCAGGAACCGAAACACCAATGGGAACGCCACATAGCTCCAAAACCGATGGACCCTGCTGCATCAGATGCGACGAACAAGTCGGGAAGCTGGGATACGCCAGGCGACAAGAAGCTGATGCCATTCCAATCACGAAAGAAAGCGAGCCACCAGTGGACATACCGACGAAACTCGACGTTAAGGCGAATTGGGTGCGAGCGATTGCGAAAATGAGCCAGAAAATCAATCATACGGCGCAAAATCGTTCTCCCAGGACGGACAACTTTGCACGCGTGGTGGAGGTGGCCAATCAAAGACTCTAATTCCTGACGGTGACAAGTACGCTTGTTGGACCAAGACTGGAGGAGTGACATGGAACGGTTGAACTTTTCGGCTGGCAACCTAGCAATTTGAGTGACCTAGCCCAGCTCAATACCTAAGAACACCAAGCAGGTTGCGGGGCTCTCGCATTTCTCATGGTTAAGAGGGAGACCCAAGTGGTTGAACCAAGGGCTAGGTCCTAGAAAAAATATCAAAGATGAGAGAGACGTAGCCTGCCCGACCGAAAAACCACTCCAACACAAAACGAGTTAGAATACAATTTTATTGGCTAATGACAGACTAAAGAGACTAGACTACAAATGTAGGAATGTATGTACTGGCTTAACCACACGACAGGTTTATCAGTCCAGAAAAACAATGATGCCGACGAACAACACGACCGACGCCACGCTGAATAAATATCGTACTGCGGAGAATCGACAACGAAACAGAAAAATTAAAAATATCAACGTTTTGAGAAAAAGGAGAGGCGCTTACGATGCCCTCTGTGTGTGACTGGGTAGTTTCCGCAGCGACGTTAAAAGGACAAAAAATACGTCTATGCGACCCCCCACATGCCAAACGATCCCATGCATGACGATATCTACACATGCATACATACATACATACATACATACATACATACATACATACATACATACATACATACATACATACATACATACATACATACATACATACATACATACATACATACATACATACATACATACATACACTTTATTTCAACACGGAAGAATCATCAGTACAAGAATAAAATACACAAATTTAAATATATACAATGTTAGTCAAAAGATAAAAATAATAATGACTGTTTTACATGATTGCCGTGCAAGAGTCCATATACTCAGTATACTATAGGAAATTAGTCAATTCGACTTTGAATGAATTAAGAGAAGGGGCTGATCTGAGCTGTTCTGACAAGCTGTTCCACAAGGAAGCACCACTGTAGCTGAAAGAACGTTTTAAATAGTCTGTTCGAGGTTTTGGAACAGACAATTTATTTAGAGAGTTTCTCAGATCATGATTGCTCACTTTGGGTGTAAATAACTGCTGCAAGTATTGAGGAGCACAATTATTGTTAACTTTGTACATTAGGATAGCTTTTTGCTTCATGCGATTTTTTGCCAAAACACTCCATCCCAACTCAGAAAGTAGGGATGCTGACGAAACCTCATACGAGGACCTGGTCATTACCCTAGCCTCACGGTTTTGCAGCTTTTGTAGTTTCTCACCCAGTTTTAAACCAATACCATCCCAAACTGGAGAGCAATAAGTAAAATAGGGCTCGACCAGGCCCCTGTATGCCTTCACAGCCGTTTCTCTATTGATGAAAGATCTTACGCGCTTAAGAGCACTAATACCGGACGAAATTTTTTTGGTAATATTATTGATATGGTTTTTCCAAGTTAAGTGCTCGTCGATTGTTAGATCTAATGACTTTGCAGATTGAACTTTTTTTATCTTTTCGTTGTGTACAAAGACATTTAATGAAGGTTGAAGGTTGCAAGTCTCTGACGGGAGCCAATGACCGTAAATTCGGTTTTTGCAATGTTAAGACTTAATTTATTGGATTGTAGGCAGGTATTTAGATTGATCAATTCCGCATTCATTGCGTCTTCCAACTCAGAAAGATCATGGCTATGAAAAGTTATGATAGTATCATCGGCATACATTCTTGCTAAACCGTCATTCATACAATTTGGCAAATCATTAATATAGACCAGAAACAAGAGAGGTCCAATTATTGACCCTTGCGGAACAACATAAGTATAAGAACGGCTACTGGATAGTGTATCATTCACGAAACACCTTTGCTTACGATCAGACAGATAAGATTTAAACCAGCCTAGAGCACTGCCTGCCAAAGGCAGTGCAACGCCCACTTTTCCAGGACCTGCAAAAACGACCACGAAGGGGTACTGGAACCCGCATGCTGAACGCGACTCGGGGAACGCGGAACACGAACCGCGGCGGTGTGAATGTTAAATAGCTCCACGTTCATGTTTGACCAATCAGACAAACCTCGCGCGGCGGCGTCGCTGCGAAAATCCTCGTCGTAATTGCGCCAGGCGTCCCTCCCTAGAATTGCGAATACGTACATAGAATCAACAGTTCGTACAATGGCAAGTCACGAGCACGGTGGGGGAACCAGGTAACGAGAACGAGGGAGAATATGGAAAACGCTTGGGCCCATTGAATGACATCGGTAATCTGTTTAGTCTTCCGGGGGGGGGGAGTGATTATTAACCGGCCGTCGAACGACATGGTAGGGATGGACGATTCGTCCGATGGCGGGGACAGAAGGGCTGCCAGATCAATGTAAAGGCTCGACGCTATTGCCGTAACCAGTTTGTCGGGAACGGGGTTGAAACTGGGGCCCACCACCATGGCGTTATCAAACGACTGTGAGGGGAAAGTTGGACAGGAGGTACGTGCCCCCGAGTAATTAGACATGAACGAAGAAACAAAATAAGGTATACCTGATCGTTGAAATTGAGCTGTTGAACCCCCAGGCGGACCATACGGAGTCGGGAGGTGGGCGGGGGGGTAGTAAGAGGAATGGACGACTGCATTAGCCTGCCCCGAGAACGGTTGCTGGGACCAAGATGTTCTGGGTGGATCGAGGGACAACCCCCCTGGAGGTTGACCGATGAATGGGTCTTGCTGAATGGGCTGAGGAGTCTGTGCGAGGTGCTGTGAACCGAGGGGGGCGGCCAGGGATGCCGAAGGATAACCAAAGCCGACCACGCTCTGCGAAGGGCCTGGGAACGTCACGCTCGGAAATCCAACATGGCGGGCATCTGAAGTCGGGAATGTAGGAGCCGATAAATTCGAACCCAAACGAGACAGAAGCGGCGAAGTCGAAGGTAAACTAACGTTCCACGACGACATAGTATTTGGCAATGATCTTGTATACGAAACTGCTGCGCCATAAGATGGAAAAACTGGAGCTAAAGTACTGTTATTTTCAGCGATCGAGTAAACGATATTATCTGACGAACTCTGCAACGATTGTCACACTTCTGGCACAGGCGATGAGGAAACAAACGCCACTGAGTCAACGTTTGAAATAGTTGATCCAGATTCGAGAGGAATTAAACGAGGCATCAGTGATGCTCGAAGTGATTTGAACGACTAAATGTCACGACTGAGAATGAGCTACTGGCGTAAACAACTTATATAAAGTAGGGGCCTCCTATTCTGATAACAAGTACAACAATTCAGCTCGTTATTAATATAATTTATTTCATAAATCCAATTAGAAAGTGGGAATGACCAACATGGCCGACATCTATTCAAATGGGGGTAACCGCTGGAATATTTTTGGCTTCAATTTTACTATAAGAGATGCGCTATCTAGTGTATATTAGATATCTATGTTCGCTACCCTAGCTTGCAGTTTGAAATTAGTAATCAAATTTACGTTTTAAGTTAATCACTTTAATCATTGTCGAGAATTATGCATAGTTGTTAAAGGACACTATAGTTAATCTTATATGACTTTTAAGCGTAGTATTTGCTTGCGCATGCGCGATAGGGCTCGCCTACCAACACGTTTTAGATTCGTAACATTCATATAAAACGACCGTTTTGGGCCATAGTTTTGGACTTTATGTTAGTTATGTCATGTATTAAGATGTCAAATACATTCAAATAAACAATCCATATTTTTGGTGCCGTGACCAGTTGTATTATGGAAGAATTACAAAGACTTCGAGCGTCCCGAAAAGCTTATCGAGCACACCTCACAACACTTTAGTCTTTACAAGAAGATTATAGAATTGAAGTCCGCCACGACTATCGATGAACTTCACATTTCCACGCTCGAAAACTACTGTCAACAACTTAAAAGAAAGAAAGACATCTTAACATCACTCGATGAACAAATTGCGAAAGCTATCACCGAACCCGAAGACCTTGAAAGTG